GCTTGGTGTGGCTGATTTTGCACCACACTCCTCCCCACACTCACCCTCACTGTTTCCTCCTTTCCCTGTCTCTGTCCCGAGTCCCTTTCCCTTCCATTTCCTTTGAAAACGTACGGACACACCCATAAACTCATCAAACCTCCACAGATCGAAGGAACTAAGTACATATTCGAGCTCGTGAGACTCGTACGAGTCCAACCATACCATTTTCAGGTAAGAACTCCAACGTTTTCACGTCGATTTCACAATGGCCGATTTGGGGTACTATTCATGAACACGTGATTTATCACGTTTTAGGGGAAATGAAGCTTGTAGATAGCTTGGTGAGGTCCCAAGGAGGCTCGGAGTAGTTCGTTTGAAGGAATTGGACGTCGGGATCACTGTATTTGGAGTTGGCCGGAGTTGGGTGGTTTGGACAGGTGAGAATTCGTGGTTTTTAGCCCTTAAAAGTTGTATGGTTATGTTCTTCTAGTTCTAGGCTTCAATTTGGTACCTAAATCGTGGAATTTGGTTGAGAAACGACGGAGATATTGAAGTTTTAAGATTTTCCAGTTTTCCGGCGCCGGCAACGTCGCCGAAGGTTCGTCGGGGAAGGAGATGGAATATTCCGTCAAGTTTGACGGAATATTCTTGACGCCGTTGACGGAATCCGTTAGAACTAACGGAATATTCCTAACGGCGTCAGTTGACGCCGTCAGCGTGCCAGGCACGTGCCTGCGTGTGGCCGGCGCGTGCGGCGGTGAAAAATTTTTCTAAAAATTTGGGTGTGATCCTGAGGTCGAGTAAAGCACGTTGGTATATTCATTTGCCCCATTTGAGCAATGTATGAGAAGTTATTTCGAAAGTTTGGTTATGTACTTTAAAATTAACGTTTTTATAGCTATTTCGCATACAGGTGAGACGTATCCTGAGGACGAGCGTGGTCACTCGAGGCAGGGGGGCTACGACCCCTCCACTTATCAGTGAGTGGGCTTTTGGTTTTCCATATATACCTATATACTTATATTTTCCCAGAAGTTGAATTAAATGTTTATTAGTTATATGCCATGCATTATATTATCGTCGTTTATGCATTATTAGTTGCATTATTGGGCATATATATTTATATACATATGCATATTTGGTGCTGTGGATGCACAGGTAAGTGCCAGGTAAGTGTTATTCATGTTTATAATTCAGTAGTGATTAATGATGCTTAGAGAGCTCATAACCTGCACCCTCGGTGTTAGTGCTCCCGCCCAGAGTAGGGCACAGTCCTTCACGTGTTGTTCACCTCCCGCACCACACGCTCAGCTTGGATCCAAGTTAGGTGCACAGTCTTGTCGTACAGACCACTTTAGGTGGTTCCGACTCGTAGGTGACCCGCGATTATTCGCACAGCCTTCACGTGATCGTAGCACTAGAGCGTTTATATGTATTACACCCAGGCCTGTCGTACAGACCACTTTAGGTGGTTCCGACTCGTGGGCAAGTTTAGTTATTGTGATTGAGATTTGAGCTCTAGATGCAGCCGTACAGGTCACGTTAGGTGACTCCGGCTACTAGACTATATATTATTGATGTGATTTATACCTGAGCACTTGCATTTCATCGTGAGATTTAGTATGGCATATTCTTGAGCATGATTGGCGTATCTATATATACGTACATATGTTATTTTCTGGGAAGTATACAGGTTTTACGGCGAGGGGTTAGAATCTTGTTTTTGAAATGGTTTTCGAAAAGCTTTGTTTTTGCCCACTCACGCTTTTGTTTTGCGCCCCTCCAGGTTCTAGCTGTTCAGTTGGTTTGGTGGTTTCCAGAGGGCTTTCCCGGCATTTCTGACAGACGATCACCAGCGTATGTCCACCTTCGGGTGCACTGTTGTAACGCTATTTTAGTTTGGACTGCTTTAGGCTTTCTGCTCTGAATTTGTGTCTCACTTACGCTAGCACTTATTACTTCTACCTTATGTATGCTAGTTTTTAATTATTCGTACTTTTATGTTACTATTTTATTAGCTTCCACACTGTGCACATGGTTACGTCACCTTCACGTGACGGCCAGCACGCCCTGGCCTCGGTCGAGGTGTGTCAATTAATGTACCACTTTGTTATATGTGAAATGTACCAATTTTTTAACACTATGGATACATTCTTTTGCCATTTATTATTTCTTATTGTTGCATAGTTTTTATCCATTTATTCAATCAAAATGTTTGAATTTTTTTATTGTAGCCGTTTCTAATAGTATTATAATAAGGGATTTTAAATTTATAGGATTATAAATCTCATAAAATATCAAACAATTAATGTCAAAACTATAAAAATATTAATATTAATAGTAATATAATGAGGTGTATAAAGTCAATGGACTTTGATCAAACTTTGAATGGCATTAAGGTTTTAGTCAAAGAGTGTTAGGGACTAGGGACTGCATCCAAAGTATCTCTTAAAAAAATTATAAAACACATTAAAAATAAAAATATCAAGTAATTTAAAAACCAAACACATTAAAACAATAATAATAATTAATTTACAAGTGTGAAAAATGTGAAAAACATGCAAATACTCGTAATCACATCCTCTACGCTTTGAGGATGGGTACATTGTCGTTTAAATTTTTAAAACCATACAAACCCTCATGAATAATATTTTTAAAGGAGTTCAAAATGAATAAAATTCATAAGCATTAATGAATAAATCTGAAAAATGTGAAAGCATATATAGACGCTCATGATTGCATCCTCTACGTTTAGGCAATGGTTACATGGTCGTTTAGATTTGTAAAACCCTCCCAATCTCATGAATAGTGTTTTTTATTTGAGTGCAAAATTAATAAAAATTATTGTAGAGGTGTGAAAAATGTGAAAAATACAATTACTCGTAATGACAAGCTTTACAACTTTTGTGAAGGGATCAACTTTGAAATTTGACACCAAAATCCATAAACCTTTGATTTAAATTTAACCGTCAATTGTCGTTTACACTTTATTCTACTCATCGAATTTCATTTTTGAAAAGTGATCTTTTAGTGGATGTAGAAAAATGAACTATTCAGATCGTTGGTATGACATTCCTATATTTACGGTTAACTAAAACATGAGTTGATGTTATATAGTTTCTAGAAACTTTATAAACTTTGAGCTATATTTTCACTAATGGTAAAACTCTGAATGTAATATTAACAATCTGAACCGTTCATCTTTCTGCATCCTCTAAGTGATCATGTTTTCAAAAAAGAAAATCTGAAGAAAAAAAAAATTGGTAAGAAGAATGGAACGTAAATATAAATGACAATCAACGGTTAAATTTAGATCTATAGTTTATGGATTATGGAAAATTTTAGTGAAAACATCGTCAATATAACTCTTGAAGATAATATATCAAGCCAAAGTTGCAATATCATTTCTCTTGGTGATTAATGAAAATTGATTGATGAAAATTGAAGGGTTTTATTTTAAAAAACGTGCAAGGTTCCTCAACCTTAAAACACAACTCTCTTCATTTTGCATATCTTTGAATATTTGTATTTTGTAATATGCACTAATGTTTTTTCATTAGCCTCTTATTTTGGGTTATATAAACTTGAAAGACAAATGTTTGTTTTTTTTTTTTTTTTTTTTTTTAATGTTTTGAAGTAATATTTATGTAACAATATGGTATGTATATACTAATTTAGTATTATGTTTTACATTTTTTGGGTCAAATTACGTTTTTCATTTTCATTTTTTATTGATTTAAGTATATTTTTCTTAAGGGGTAACGGGTCGGGTCATATTACATGTTTATTTTAATGGGTGTTACACAGCACGACCCGTTAAGTCATAGGGTATGACATAAAAACATCACGAACATAAAAAACATGACACAAATGTCAAATCTAAGTACATTTCCATCCGTAAAATAAATTATCTCAGAGCTATTAAAACATATTATAATTTTTTTTTTTCCACTTTCTTCTTCCTTTTTCCTTTTTCCTTTTGCCTTTTTCATTCTTTCTTCTTTCTTTCTTTCTTTCCTCCAGCTTCTTGAGGCCTCTCCCCCTCCTTATCTTTCCATCCAGCTTCTCGAGACCTCTCCCCCTTCTATTTTTCTTTCTTCATATAGTAAGTGAAAGCTTTGAACATTGGAAGACGAACAACAATGGCTATGCTCTGAAAAAAATAAAATAAATTTAAGGTAACTTCATTTTGTCCATATATAATTGAAACTTCATATAACATATTTAAAACATTTTAATTTCATACGTCTACAAAATCAGTTTTAATATAACGGAGTTGAGCAAGTACAATTAAATAGTTTAATTGTTTATGACTAGGATTAATTAATAAGTTAATTAATTGAATGAATAGGTTTGTATTAGACGTTAAGTTAGTATCGAGCTTTAAGCCCAATGATATTTGAATTGTTAAGCCCATTAACTTAAGTTTTATAACAACTTAAAACTCAAAGGGCACAAAAGCTCAATGGCTTTACACAGTTGGCCATAGAGAGGGTAAATATTTTTCTCTCTTAACTCTCTCCTTTCTCTCTAGGAGGTCGGCCACCATAGGAGAGGATAGTAGCATCTTCCTTTCCCTTGGTCACTCATCTCGCCAACATGGGAGAGGATACCAACATCTTCCTCTTCCTTGGTCACTCATCTCTCCTTCCCATCTCACATGAACATCTCTCTTTGATGTGGAGATATTAGAGGATCCCTATTTTGAGAACTTGGAGATTCTATTCCACCATCCAAATTAAAGAAGCCAAGGATCCAAATGTGCAAAGGAATGAAGACCCTCATTGGGTGAATAGCCCTTGCAAATGCAAAGAGGATCTACAAAGGTATTATGGATTCTCAACTCTCTTGTAAATTTGAGTTGAGCCTTGGTTCACCACACCACTAGACTTTGAATTTCTTGATTAATATTTATTTTTTTAATACATATGAGCATACTTCCGCCTTTTAATTGCTAATATCTCTATGTATATTACTCAAATGATATTTCGTTTTCCTATAAATTTATACTTCAATAATCTATGGTCCTTAAATCTTTATTTATCTGAAAAGGGAGAAAATTGTACCCCCAAAAAGGGAATTAACGGACAAAATTGTGCTGAGCAGATTACTGCTTAAGGAATGGAGAAAAAAAAAAAGAAAGAAAATGCATGGTGGAAAGAAGAAAATGCATGGGAAATGATTGATTAGCCAGTGATGGCAGAGTTGAGAGCACTATGAACATCAACTCCAATCTGAGCCTCAGCTTTCTCCAAATCAGTGGTAGCCGAAGAAAGCTTCTGGGTGAACTCCGCAAGCCCCTTTTGTACTAAGCTTGCGTCAATCTGGTCAATCGGCACTGCCTCCACAGCCACTATATCAGCAACAGAATTTTCATGAATGAAAGCAAACCCGCTGCTCACAAAATACTTTGTCACGTCGCTGCCTTCATGCACCGATAGGACCCCGGGCTTGAGCTCTGCGATCGTTGGAACATGGCCGGGCAAAACACCCATTTGCCCAGTTGTTGCTGGTACCATGACCATGTCAACCTGACACACATTCTTCAGCTTGTTAATAAATTGTGGTTGGAGTCCAATAAAACAAGCATCAATGTGGTTAAGCAGCTAGCTATCTGAAAGTTTGATCATTACAAGTTAGCCAATGAATATATCACGAATACTATATGTTCACCAAGGCGAAACCAATAAAGTAGAAACAAATCGAGTGTCAAGCTGCATTTTCAAATGTAAGTTCAGCCCAGACGAGTTTCGAACCCTAGCTATGTAGCTATGCCGGCCGAGTTTCGAAACCTAGCTAGTCACACAGATAGATATGAGAGGAAAGATTGCCATGAAGGAGGACCTGCTACTTCCAAATGAACAGGGTGAAGCATGCATAATGATTGTATGTGTTCCTGATGCCTCTCAAACAAAGCTTACTGATTGTATATATTATGTTTTCTTCTTTTGGGTTGTCAGACGATTGCTGTATTCATTTCGACCAAAAAAAAAAATACCGCAATCGTGTGACAACCCAAAAGAAGAAAACATAATACTAATATAATATCTGAACCATTTGACAAACTAAATCAAAATAATATCCAGATATGACAATACTGCATGTATATAGTGAACCAATAAAAAAAACCCCACTATGATGAAAATGAATCCATGAGAATTAAGGCACAATCCCACAACATAAAATAATCAAAATTGGAACGTGAGAAGCAGATGAATAAGTATCTGCTTCCGGAAGAAATTGAAGAATTTCTTGGAAATCCTACAAGATTTATTTGTTCTTTTTTCTCTGACAGATGGTCAGAACTTCATTTGGGTTCGAATCGTAGTGACAGGTCCACTAGAGATTAGAAATTGTTGAAGAATGAACAAGATGTTTCTTTTGTCCGTCCTAGGCATCGGAAATAAAGAAATAGTTAATATACTCAAGATAATTACGTATTTACAAAATATTGTCTCACTTCATCCTATTTCATCATATTCAGGATGTAACATGGTTTCGAATGCAGATAAAAACAATAAATTTACAAATCATAATAAAAATAAACAATCCAAATATGAGAAGATACAAACAATAAAGCCAAAAAAAAAAAAAAAAAAAAAAAAAAACCAAAACTAAAGTGGGAAATCACGTATTAAAAAAATAAAATTAAGGGTTAAGAAAAACAAAGCAAATGTTAAATCCAAAAGAAAAGGCAATGGGGAGCAACGCAGACCGACCTCTTTGCCGGAGAGCTGGGAGGAATAAGGGAGGACGAAGTTGACGGTGAGTTTGGAAGGGAGGGAAGAAGGGGTGGGAGGGCGAGGTCCCATGTACGTTGATGGAGTGTGGGGTGGCTCCGTGGTTGAACTCACTTTCTTCCATGCTTCCACGAAGGCTGAGTCCTTGTTGCTATTCGCTGGGACCTCCGTGCACATGGCACGGACCCTCGGCGGCCGACTGGATCGACCCAAGAGACGTGATGCTTGCCGGAACATGGTGCTTGCGTGCTGCCTTTCCGGGTTTCTTGTGTTACCAAGCAATTCAGAACAAATTGAAAATGTTGAAAAAAGGCCTAGTCCCTTTTCCTAATGATTTTCCTCATTTTTATGGGACTCTGATCTGAAAAGTGAGTGGATTTTGGTGAAGCTGTTACAGACTTTTGAGTTTTTGAAAAGAAAAAAAATAAAATGCTTTTCATGCTTATTGGTTAATTTGAGTTTAAATCTAGTATTCATCTTTACTTGTAATTAAGAGATCTTAGGTTTAATTATCGTCAAATGTGATTTTGAATCACATTATTACTAGCATAATGTTAGGCTAAGCTGAGTCATTCCCTTTTAGTATAGATGATATCGCTTGTTAAAAAAAAAAAAAAACTCACCGTGCGTTTTTATTTTATTATTATTTTTTTTTTTTTATACAAATGCATTTTTTTAATAAAGCGCCAATAATAGCATATAAAAATAGGGAAGTATTATTGGCACTCCAAAAATCTCATTATACACTCCTCAAAATGTATTTTTCTTTCTAAACTTGTAAGTGAGAGATCTTAGGTTGTAAGTGAGAGATCTTATATTCGATTCCCGCCATAGGTGAATTTGAACCCCATTATTGGTAGCCCATTGTGAGGCTAAGCACACCCCTTCCCCTTAATTTAGATAATATCACTTGTTAAGTCATTCACTTTGAAAATAAATGTGACTCAAACTTCCAACAACAAAAAAATGACCAAAATAAACAAGAAATTATACGTAGACGTCTATGGTAATTAAACTGATGTCGTTCTCCTACAAAACTGGATCACGAATCAATAATAATCAAATGTCGTTTTTCCTTCACTGTGATCTTCAGTTCTGAAGCACAACTTGAGGTAAATTTCTTGCCGTGAAAATTTTGGTTAAACTTTCTTGTATGTGAAATTCCGTCTCCGAATTTTACTATTTTTGTATTTCACTGTTACTTATTTAGAATCTGTAGACCTTTTGGGAATCACTCCTAGTAATATTGGGTAGAACACGACCTTATCAACGTGTGGGTAAAAACCATTCACAAAACGGAGTAATAATGAAGGAGAGACAAGCAAGCAAAGGCAGGGTTAAAATGATCATTTGGACCATCGACTTCTGAAAGGCTGCAGCAAAGCTGGATTAGCTTTCCCGTTTTAGAAAGCTACGTGTGTGGCCCAGATGGGTTTCCCCCCTTGACCCGCGACTGACCCGTTTCTGGGCAATTTTTGCAGGCAAAGTTCCGGCTGCTTACGGTGGTTTGTCCCACTGAATTTATCCACAACCAAAGAAAGCTCTCTATATTAGAAACGGTGATTTTTTACATTAGACTATTAATTTCTAGTATAAACTAACTGGTCGTGCTATCTACACATTCAATTTTACCTGTCACGCACTATATTAATTTGTGTCATTGATCTTCAATTCATTCGATACAATGGTCGAAAATCAGAAGACCCAGTGTAGTGCGAGCGGTAAAAAAAGGTGTAGATATAGCGCCACCCTAAACTGACATCCTATGCTCTGTCTTCTTTAATTTGCCCTAAAAATTTTACACTCCATGTGCCTCTGATTCCATCGAGGAAAGCTGCACACCTATAACCAATTCTTTCATACAACTTTCAGCCTATTTACAAAAGAAAGCAGCCACGCCGATGCCGGAGCAGAAAATACCGGCAAAGAAGCCACACCGGTGCTGTGCCAATGCAAAACATAAAGGATCCTTGCTTACAGCAGAATAGCAGAAAACCATAGAACCATTACGATCTCTATTGTCTTTCGTTTGTCTTACGGGCCAGACTCTTGTGCCCAAAAGGCGTCTGGATCTGGGATATATACAGAAGGATCTTCGATTTCCAAATTTGCTATATGCCAGTCCACAAACCGCGCTTGTATTAACTTCAATAGCAGGAGAATCGTTGGCAAAAGCCACCATTTATCATCATCCCTGAGACCACGCACAATTCAGAAGGAAATATACGTCACATTGATATGTAACATACAATGCACATATGAAGAAGATAAAAAGAATACTATTATGCAGTGGAAGAATACTATTCACGCCAGAGATTGATCAGTTTTTATATTCTATGCGCTACCAGCATAAAACCATCAGTGCAGTGAGAATATTCTTCAACTTCCAAGACTTCGACACAGTTTGTGCAGCTATGTGAGTAATAAAAAGTCCAAAAAGGAGAACCGTGTTGTGTGATTAAATTTGTCTTCTCAAAATTTTCACTCTGTACCATAACCAAGCATGAACAGTCTTTTGGATGCCTTTCTATGCAAATACAATGGATGATTAAACTATTTTCTGTTGGTCGGTTTTGGATCTTTCACAACGTTATCACATTTAAGGAACTAAGGCTAAACATGATTGCACCCAACGGAAATTTAACGTCAGCTCATTTCTAAAATTTTTAGTGGTTCACCAAAGTTGAGCAGAACAAAGAACTCTTCATGCTCTACAAACAGGTGAATATGGTAATGGCCACGAACCACAGACGAATTGGACTCGTCACCTTCTAATATTGAATCGATTATACTAATTTTGTAAACATTCCCCTCACCTTGTCCTGGGCCTCCTGGCTATGCCAGTGCAATCAGAGTTGTTATGGATAGAAATATTGGTCCTAACTACATAGTTTCCTGTCCCCTCAATAATGTTGTATTTGAAAAAGATTTGCAGATGTCCTATGAACTTTAGAGACCCAAATCAATATAGCCTGGTGAAGCACGAGTCTTTCATTTATCGCGTAGTTATGGAAGTGATCTTAATCCGCAAGGAGCATGATAAGCAATCAGGGTAAAGCAGAAGTTTTCACAGAGACATTAACATGCGTAACAAGGAATCTGACTATTAGTTTCAAGATAGAATGAAGTTGAGTTGAGGACTCACCTTCTAGTGTTCCATGTATCTGACTTGCCAGGTGGCCGGAAAAAGGAAAATCCATAATAAAAAATGCCACACATTAATGCGACCACCTGCAGAAGTCAAAATTGATTATATGATTATTAGAATAATACTCGACTGCAGAAGAACTGAACGCTAATACTTAGGCTCAGACTTGCATCACAGTAATTTTTAATGTGTATGTGTACATAAAAGAAGATATGCTATAATTAGATTAAGATAAAAGGAAAGCCAGGAAGCATCTCACGAAACAAAATTTGCACTCTACAAGGGATGTGACATAGCTCAGTGTCTCATTTATAACCATAAGTTGGCCTAACTTGCGATAGGGATTTCAAAAGGCAATCCCGCTAAACCATATTTCAAGCTCTGAAACTCACCACATTAGAAAGGGATGTAGCATTCCACAATGCATATACACGAGCAAGTGAAGCTCTTCTAAGTTCCTTGCTGAATAAAGCATTTAATCCAGCGAGGAAGGGAGAAAGCAAGGATAGAGGTAGTATAAGCAATACAGCAAGGAAAGCCCCCAGAGATATCCAGTAGAACTGAAGCAACATAAGAAGAGTGACAGAAAGGTCTGCTAAAAGCATGAAACTTATCAGCAGCAACAGGGTGTCCTGCAACATGAGTTTTATTAGGTCTTGAACAGCGTCGAGATTCAGCCTACATTTAAACACCATAGAGGACCTATTTGAAGTACCTGACGACCAACAGGTCTTGTGTTGTGCAGTAAGAGAGAAAGTGGAAACAGGAAGTCCCTTTTATAATCCAAAGATTTCAAGGTAGTATGATTTATAAGACCTCCATTAATTCCTCCAGTTATCCTTTTAACAGATAATGCATGACCTACCAACGGCCAACTTTGCTGCATCTGCTTAAGACATTTTCTTGTACATGCAACATTAGACCTGAATTTTGATAGACGATGAACAAAGTAGTCAATAATCAACTATACTAAACAATAGATACAGGGTTTAGAAATTAATCATGTGAGCATTATAAGGGTTCTAGCAGGCTATTTACTTTATCTCCAAATGACGTCAGTTACTCGGAAGTTTACATCTACAAATGATCAAATAAAAAAGGAAAATAAAAATTCATTGTTCCCTCCATATCATGCCAGTCGTACTAGTTTGATAAAATTTCCAATGAACACTGACATAATTGAATGGCATCATCCTGATCTCACAATTGTACTTTTCGTTACTTCTCAACATGAAGATTTATTTCTTTGGTCCCACTATTTTTTCCTTCCCAGTTCTTGGTGGAGGGAGAATTTCTTCCTTTCCAAATCAAAGTCCAGTGTTGGAATCTATGTTGTCCCACATCCTAGCGGCTTAAGCTTTTGAGAATTTAAACAAATGATTTTATCACGGTATCACAGTGGAGACCCTTGTATCAGACTCAACAACCATCCCCTCACATTTGTCCAGACTCAGCCGTTTTGTGGATCAGTTATATCAGGTCATGCGCAGCATGCCTGGCCAAACAGAACATGTCTCGTGATAACTTGCCCATGCAATATCATGTTACATTTTAAAGCTTTCAACCAAAACTAATCGGCAAGAAGTGGAGAGGTCCAGGCTCTTATATTTATTTTATACACAGCTTATGATTCCAGATGTAGGATCTTATTTATGAACACATTGTACTTTCAGTTCCATTTTGTTTTCGAACTCTCAACTAAAGGAAAACTAATCTATTACCGTGTTCTCAACTTCAAATCAAACAAAATTTTCATATAGGTAGATTAGACAAGGAAAATTAATATCTTCATCAGAAACAATCAGTCTGAAAGGTTCAAAGGTTGCATCTTAAATTGGTTGTGGAAACTCAAAATGGAAAACGGATAATCCCATTATGTGTTTTGAAACATAAAAAATTGGTGATCCAGTGAGTGTGTTAGCAATCAACAGATGCTCTTGAAAAAAAAAAAAACAAAAAAAACAAAAGTGCAATTGCTCAAAGTTACCTTGGTAGCTCGTTACCATTTCTATCCCCCATATCAGACTGGTGCACACTTTGAAGAGGATAATCCCCAACGACTACCAATATCCCCAGCTGATAATAACCAGTAGCTGTTGCTTGAAACCATCCAAGTTCAACTTTAACCCCATGAAATGCAAGTTGAGGGTTTGCATGGCTGTTTATCCAATTAATCACAGGAATCAGGTGAGAACGAATAGATCCTTGCCTTACCATCCTCAACTGGGCATTCAAACCA